TTAATGTATTTTTAATGAAATTCTTGAGTAATAAATTCTTAAAATATCTGTTTATAAATGTAAAGTATTTTTAGTGATCTACAATTTTCTGCTCGTTATAGCGAACGAAAAAATTTACAGAAGCGCGAGCGAACATATTCCTCGACTCTCTCACTAGTGGGAGACGCTAAAAGGTTTCGAGGTGTATCGAGGAGATTTTGCTTTTAGCACATTCACGATAAAACGCGTTTCAAGCCTCCGCCCGGTTGACGTTAATGCCGATAAACGTCGTTTCGTATAACAAACGGGTGTGTATTCTACGTTCACTTGGTTACACGTCGACCCTCTATTTCTATCTTCCTCTTTGTCTCTCCATCGTTTCTCGTTGATGCTTCGCTTCATCAAGAGAATTTTACTAAATTATTTCATCACACCACGCTCTCAACTCTCATCCTTTATAAAATAGTCAACAATTCATCTAACACTCTCATTTTAACTGTCAGTAAATAAAATTTCTAACTAATTAAGAACATGGATAATGCCATCAAAAATCACAAATATTTTTCATTGATTATTTTATCGCATTTTTGTTGAGATATTCATTGGAAAGTAACATAAATAATAATGAAAAAGAGGTTAAACATGTAATTAATTTTTTAAAATTAAAATTCATCAAATAAATGAATTTTGAAAAATTCATTGAAGAACTGTCATGAATAATTGACATCTCTTGAAAAAAAATATTAAACTAAATATTTTTTTAAAATAATTTTTTTTATTGTGGGTTTTGGTCATTGATTATCAATTAATTATATATAACAATAATATTGATATATTTTTGAAAATAAATTTTTTATTGCGAATTTTAGTTGATTATTAATTAATTATAAGACATGACACATGAGTTAAATATAAATAGATGGTAAAAATAAAAAAGCTTTAATTATAATCTAGATTGAATTAGACATATAGGAGGTTATACAATATTTTTACTGACAATACGCAGGCAAATGACAAATGGACTTTCTTCGTATTCCATAGTAGACTACGGAGGGATAAGGGAAGAGTATAGGAAAGGGGAAAGTGAAAACACGCAAACAGAGCTTGTGTACCGTGGCCTCGTCGAGCAGGCATCATTAAATCACAGAAACAGCCTCTGTTATTGACTCCGTCGACAAATTTATCGTCGGCCGGTGCGCGTTTTGGTGTATAGTGAGCCCTCGACCTCCAACCGCCTCATTCGCCACCCTCAGGACGCGGATCTCGCTCCATAGCCTCTTCCGGAACCCGTACAGTCCCTCTTCCTCCATCTCAACCCCTCACTCGCACCGTCATTGTTCTGGTTTATACGGTGATTTGTGGATTTTACTACCCCTTGTCTCTTTCTCTTCGTACCTTTCCTACATCTCGACCGGCCCATTCGCACCCTTCTATTACTGCTAGACCATTTTATAGACTAGTCCAGCCTAACGTGTGAGTAAATACTCTTGTTGCTGACATTATTGTTGATCGTCAAAGTATTCTCGTCTTTATATTATGGCTAGTGATTTTAATTTTATGTGCAATAAACCATTATGCGTACGAGTTTCCTCACCAGTTTGACTTTGGACCCAAGCTCAGTCAGGTAATGTGTTACGAAAGTGTTTTTAAATTTACAGCAATGAAAAATTCCCTTTATACTTCAATAAATTATAAATATTCTTAAAAAGAAAGATAAAACGAATTTTTTAAAGAGGAAAGAGTTGTTGAATTAATTGTAAATTAATTTATTGGTAATCATTTTAAGTGAATGGTAGTTGATAAGAAAATAGTTGTACTGATGGATTTGTTATAAATTTATTGACAATAAAGTAGTTGTAGCGATTTACTTTGGTTCCATAAGCAAGAGAACTGTTGTAAACTGTCGAAAAAAAAATTTATCTTATCGTGTAGTTGTGCAGATAAGTATCGATACTGAACATAAGGTACTTTTAAATGTATATAAATTTGATGGAAAAGTTATATAGTTGTATATACTACAGGGATTGAAAAAGCAATCGCAAGCGAGCAATAATCATAAATACAACTGTCTCGCGTTTTTGGTATACTTCGTCGTTTTCCTTAATCCTTTCACATCGTCTCAAATAAACGACGTCGCTGCTTTTAGATCGAGTTCCCTTAGCCTCTCAACCCCATCGTCGTGAAGCATTCGTTAGAGGTAGATTCATCCCCTTAAATTGAATTAATTATCATACTAAAGTGAGTCCTTGGAACGCCCGTGATTTCTCACCACCTTTGGCAAATTTTCTTCATTTTGCTTTATTGTTTATTTATTTTTTCCTTTTTTTTTTTTTGGATGATTAAATATAAATTTTGCCATTGAAATATATTTTTGAAAATTACTAAAATATATTCACGTGAATCCTTTATTGATTAAAGAATTTTATAAATAAATTTCTGTATTGTTTTCAAGGAAAGAATATTCATCATAATAATTATACTGGAAAAATTTCAAAATTAATAAAAAATTGATAAAATGCAAAAAAAATGAATTGATAGATATTATTGAAGTAGTTGAGAGTATATGATATAAGCTTTTACGACAATTTCCAAGTAATTAGCTTCTCACTTTGAACTACAGTAATGGATAATGGCTAAATAAAGGAAGAAAGGGTCTGGACGGAAGGATTCACTGCATCGGTGGCATTTATTACACTATTGAACTTTAGTCTTCACACGATTAGACGTAGTAAGGAGTCAGTTGTGGTTTTGTTCTTATCGGTAAGATAAAGACCTGCCAACCTTTATGAATGCCTCCATTATTCGATTCCATTCTCTATTTTGTACTGCTTTACTTACAGTAGCTCTGGTATATGTGCTTTTACCCACGTTCTAATGCGTCTTCTATAAACTTCTTCGACTACTAACTGATAAAGTGATAATGATAACACACACTTTGTAATTAATGCGACATTTCCTTCCTATAAGTTAGACATTAATCATTAGGGGACCTTTTGATTAATTGTTTGGAAAATTTTATTACCATTTAAAAAATTTTTATGTCATCAATAATCAGCTATATTGAATTTGATTAAATAATTAATTAAAATATTATTCATATTTTTCTGATATTTAATAAAAAATTGTACGAAGCTTATTATAAATAAATTTATAAAAATAAATAAATGGATTTTTTTATCACAATCAGTAAAACTTTTCATTTTTGTTTAAATTTAAATGATTTAAATTATATTTTTATAATTTTTTACAATGAAGATCATTTTGATAAGAATTTTTTTGCATTAAAAAAAATAATAGTAAATATTTTCAAATTATTTAATATATCAAAAGAAAAATAAATTAAATAATAAGTCACTTTAAAATATAAACATATTTCCCATAGCGACATTTGTTTGATAATATGTACCTGTTATATCTATTCGAGGCCACGAGAATTGAACCGTGGATTTCCGAAGCGGGATATTGAATTTACGCCATTTCTGATTTGACATATCATAGTAGTTCAATGGGCGATACGATCCATCGAGTACGCTTCCGTGCTTTATGGTAAAGGAAATGATTTTTTAAACTAAACAAATAGCTTTTTGCGGTTTGTCAGCATTTGTTGATTCATGAATTTATATTGACTCGTTATATATCGTTATTTATGACCACTAAACTTGTGGTATCATTCATAAATTATTAAAATTTATTTCTTTATGTCCAACCTATCTTCAATATGATACAATAATGTAAAATAACAATATAGTTATCTAATTAATTTTTTTAAATAAATTATTTGTTTGTAATAATATTGAAAATAATATGATTATTTTTTGCAAATTTTTAAATAATTATTTCGAGGTTTTTAAAGTTAATTTAAATATAATAGCTGGTTAGTTTGAGATAACATCCGGCAGAATATCGTATTTTGGAATTTCTAGGGGAAATTAGAGGGGAAATTTGAAAGTTTACCAGGATCTATGAAACCAAATAGTCAACAATATCTAGTGGAAGTGCATTTCATCTCATTTAAAATACGTATCTATTATATTTGTTGATAAATTTATAGTCTCTCATAGTAATAGAGATCAACATGATATAAATCAGAGAGAAAATTACAAAATCCTTCGAGATTTTAAACGCTTTAAAACGTTACTTTTTTTTGTGTTTTCTTTCACGAGAATAAATAGCCAATAAAATCGTTAACTTAAAGCCCAGCACGAACGCGTGGGCGTTGGAATTGGCGCAGTCCATTTTACGAATACGTGAGTCAGTTCTTGTGTCCATGTATCTTGTAATGTATTTATAAAGCTTTCGAGGATTAAGTGGTTAAAATAATAACGATATATAATCCCAACCAATATCTTAAGGCTTTTACCTCTAAATTAATTTTGTATCTTAAATTATGCTCCTAAACAATTTCATCAACCAACATCATTTCTTTTTATGCGAGCATAAAAGAGTCGATTACTTTACATGTATTACAAATAAATACTTTTACTCTTTATTTTGTAATAAATTTTATTTTATTATTTTATTGGCTACTTTATTTGAATGCTAAACACTTAAATAAAGTAATCAGTTTTAACTTCTCATTAGAAAGTTATTGTAATAAAATTTTTTAGAATTTTGAAATTCAAGATTCTCTGATGATCGTTCTTTTTAGTATCCTGAAGTGACAGTTATGATCAGTAAAAAAAAGTAATTGGTTATTAATGTTTTTTTTTTTTCTTTTGGAAAAATATATTTATGCAAAAATAAGGATTATTTGTTTATAAAAAAAAAATTTTTTCTATTTATGAATTAATTATAAATTTTCTAATATATAAAAACGGAAACTTTTTGGTAGGAAGTTTAAATAAGTTGAAAAAAAAACTTATTGTGGACCCGAGTTCAAACCAGGATTTTTTAATTATCAATGTAACAAATTGCATGTTTATGAAGGTTTAAAGATGAATTGAATTTACTGATAATTGAATTAAATATCTTTAAACTCAATTAATTTAATTGCTTTGCAAAATTACCATTTTTTGTTACAGATGATCGATCTACGCTATCGAGAATTAGCTAGTGAATTATTAGCAGCTGTATAAAGAAATATAAATATCTCTGGTGAGTATCTCATACTTTATTCATAGAAAATTTCTCGAGAAATAATTAGACAAGAGTATATGTATCTATTTCCTGAGAGGGATCGAGATTATTTGGGAGACGTGAGTGTATAGAGTATAGAAAGGAAGAAAGATGGTGAAAACGGTAGCGATGTAGTGGATCTGATACACGGAGGGTTAGACGAAAGTGGTAGTGGTAAGGGTAGGTCCGGCAGAATGCTAATGGAAAGTGCTCAGCAATATATACCTCATGGTCATATATATATATATATATATATATATATATATATACACCTTTAGTTATATAGGTAGGTGGTCTAGGAATATTGCCTATCGATCGATCGTCTAGTGTATCGATAAATAGGTATTTTCTGAGCAAGAGGATGAGAGAAAAGGGTTGGTTAGTGTAGGTACAAGGGGCAGATAATTACATTTAATACCTATGGTCATGTGTTTGCATCGCACACATTTGTCAGTTGCGTCCCACGCGGTGACCCAAACCCCAGTTTGGCTTGTAAACACTTTTGGTTTCTATGCCTCGTTTTACATAATGTTTTGTCTAGTAATGAGAATTATGCGCATTATTGTTAAGTAATTAATGCATTTCTGTTTATCTAGATATTCTGATTGCATTAAAATTTTTTTTTTTCATCATCAAACATATAATTAAATCGCCAAATTAGTCATCAGTTGTTTGTAGAAATTCTTTTTTTTAATAAAAAAGTCTGTTATTTTGGTTTAGGTTGGAACTTTATTGTAAATAATTTTGTAAATATTCACATGCTTATACAGTCTTGAAAGAGATTTTATTCTTATACTCTCGTACATGAAACAGGCACACTGAAGTCAAGGGGAAATGAGAATGAATGTAATAATATATTTAATATTCGTCGAGACCCCTCGGTCTTTTTCATTCTCGGTATTACAAGCCAACCAATATTCTCGCCCCCATTTTACTCTTCTCAATTTCTCTCTCTCTCTTGCTTTTTCTCCTTTCCATGCATCATCCTCATGTACTTTTATATTCTTATTCCTTTTTCTATAACCTCATAGTGACCTATCATTTTTTTATCTTCATTTTTCGACCAGAATCGAAGATTAACTGATTTATTACCCTTGAAAATGTTTGAGAATTAAATAAATATGTAATTTGATAATTCCATTGTTCGGAATAAGAATAAATGAATGAAATATCATTTGTCAAAATGATTTTAAATTAAATTTTTTTTATCCACTCATAAAGTTCTCATCTTTATAATTAATTTTAGTACATCTTTTTCATTTTTGATGGTTAATTAACTTCTTCTTCTTCTTTTTGATATCGTCTCATAGAGGGTTGTTTTTTCGGAGTAATTAAGTGTCGAGTAAGTTTTCGATTTTTTTTTTTTATTTATTCTCTTTTTTTCCGACGGTTTGCAAGTTTTAATCAATCTCAATCAATAATTAAATTGATTAATTAATTTTTTATGTAATAAATATTTTATTAATATGGTGACAGGATAATTATAAAAGACTCAAATGTAATCCAAAGCTGAGTGCCATATGCCAAGACGTGGTGAGAATAATCTTAGATTAAGTTTCTGACGATATGCATCAATAGATGATATTGCCTTGTCAGCATTCAATTTCAAGTCGTTGAAAATTAAATTTTTTTCTAGTCGTGGTGTACTTATATGAGCCACAAGATTCATAAGATTTAATATTCTACACACTGAAAGAAGTTTTTGAGATAAAAATAAAAAAAATAAAAGGTAAGGAAAATAGAGGAATATAAAATTCTATAGCTCATAAGAATTGCATCCGTTTTTCATTTACTTGTAATATATATGTGTATATATTAGTCTCGTCAAATCACGTGACTAAAGATCTCTGTCGGTTGTTGTTCAAGTCTTTAGACAAGTTAACTTGATGCTATCAAGTAAATGATCAACAGCCTCGAAGAAAAAGAGGAAGAGTAACGTTACGACCGACTTCCCATGTTCGTCGCGTCGTGTGTCTTGATTTACGCAATGTGGGCGTGTCTGTACAGAAGCTGCAATTAGTTTATTAATAATTAGTAAACGAGTTTTGCAACCTCCACTACTTGATCCAAGAAGTGATCGAGGAGGTGTAGTCAGTGTCGATAACACTAGGCTTGTTGCTACACTCTATATGATCAATCATCACTATGTGTCTTCTCATCATTAAATTATCGCTACGCCGCATTTATTTATTCATTAAAAATCAAATGTTACCATTTGCATGAAACATTCTTCCACCTTTTTTCCCCATTAAATCTATCAATATGGATTGAATTTTATAAGACACTTAATTAACTATTTTTTTCATTAACATGCTAATAGTAAATTTGCAAAAAATTTACATTTAAAATAGAAATAAAAATGTTAATTAATTATTGATGATTGTTTGATTAATTGTTTTTTGTAAGATTGTTTAGGCTTTTAGGGAATTTATAGGATTGTTTTTGATTTGTTAAAACTCCTTTTCCTCATTAATAATAATAACAATAAATTTTCTGAATATCATGATAAAGAGTTATTTTTTAGAAATATGAGAATAGTAATTATATACTGCATTGACGATAAAAAAGTAATTTTTTCATTCCAATATCTCAATCTTTATAACCTGAAATATACGTAGTCTGAATAATACTCATGTGAGATATGTTACATGAACGCATACAAGCTATCAAAGTATGAAATAGTATCTCTCTGAGTTATCCATCCAACGAATAACGCGAATCATAAGGTTTACGATCAGTTTATTCGTATCTTTTGAACACGCTTGGCAACCAACTAGACTTGTACCTTCTCGTCTCATATCTGACACTTATCCAAGACATTATACGACACATGATGTTTTTTTTTCCGTTACGGTTTTATGCCAACTGTGGACAGAAGTTTATGAACCGTTGAAATAAAAGGGGTAAGATGTTTTTGTGGCTGTAAGAACTTGATTAAGAATAGAAACAAACTTCATACTGATGATCTAGTGTTTCAAGTCATACTATTACTAACGAACCTTTAAACTTGCTAGAAATTTTATTCTAAGTAACTACAAGTGTTCAATAATATTAAAATCGAATTATTAAGGAGAAAAAATTATTCTCAATTAGAAAAAAAATTAATTAAATTTTAAATATCTTTAAATATTATTACAAAAAAAACAATTAAATGCAAATTAATGAAAAAAATTGTTTAATTTATTAATTAATTACTTCAGTATTTAATAATTAACATGATTTTGGTTGTAATAATTTCAATCAATTTTTTTACTATATTAAATTCAATACTCATTGATTCTTATGTTCATATGTATTGAAAAGTATCCCGAGAGTGTGATGATTATATAGATATAAGTGCAGCCGCAATTAAAACGAACGAAGTTTCTATATAATAAAAGATGACAAAAGCAAATAATGAGTTTTAAAAATGAAAGGGTGATTTTGCTTCATCTCGTTAGATTTTTCTCAAAAGATATTCTATACATTTACATTGCGAAACATTTTAATTTTAATCTTACATAATACTCCTTTTCTTACATTCATTTAAAACTATAGATAAAAAAAAAAATCATCTGTATAGAAAACTTTATTTTTTTTCTCTGAGAAATAAAAATGAATATAAACTGATATAATTGGCTTCAATTTATTATGTTAAGTATATGGTTATGATTAATGAAAATGAAGTAAAGGCATCGATTAAGATGACAGATTGTCTGTATTTTCATTGTCCATAATCGTAAAGACGATGTTTCATTCACATGCGGGAGGTCGTACGTGTTTTCTTTCGAATCAAATTAGTTTCTGATTTGATGGGTCTTGAGATATAGAAATAAATCTTTTTCTTTGCTTGTATAATATAATAACATGCAATTATGCAACGTCATTGAGGATATAATGCCTTAAGTATATTTCAGCTTTAATAGCCGATGATAATTTGTACAGTCGACAGGGAATTAGAGCATTATCCAATACATCAAAGCATTTATTATCGTTTAACCCTTTGCCATTCTTATTTTACAATGCTTTTCTTTCAACCCAATAATTAACTCATAATACTTAAAAAAATCTTTTCATATCTCTAAAGGTACTATTATCACAAGTGTATTTAATAAAAGTCTATTTAATTTATTGTAAATAAGTTATTTATGTAAACATAATTTTTTTAAAATGATAATTCGATTATAAATTTAGAGATAATAATAATATACTTTCAAGCATCATTAAAATTTATCTAATCGATTGGTGAACGCAAATAATCACGTAATATTCCATAACTACCACCATAGAAAGTCAAAAGCAATAAAATTAAATGGAATTTTATTGAATAATAAATTCATTTGGAATATGAATTTTATTTCTAAATAAAATTTAACTAAATATTTATGTATTTTCCACCATAAATTGATGATTAATTTTGATTGGAAATTCAGTGAGTTGAAAAATAAAATAATTTTAACTTATGTTTTGTCTGTCAAATAAAATGATTTTACTTTTTATTAAATATTACATTATCGCGGAAAATTGAAAAGCAATGTTTTATTTGGTCATCAGATTGAATTCAAACAATTAAAATAAATAATTGAAATGACAGTAGATTGAATGAACAATTATAATTGTTTTAATCATTCCATTAAATATTCATATTCCAATTGTTGAATTTTTTGGTGAATTAATTGAAAGTTGTTGACATTGAAGCGAGTTAAAACGATTGATGAACTTAGGGTTGGCAGTGATGATGTGGATATGTATATTTGTATTTGTGTGATGAGATAGTAATCGTTTATATTTGTTACGGGACGACACTCTGTAGTGTTTCTCTTGCACGTCGAGAATGGCTCATTGGGAACGCATCGAACTATGATTTGGTATTTAGTCACCATTAGGGACGCATTAGCTCTGATTACTCATGCATTTGCACGTACGTATGTAGTACACATGAAGCGTACACATACGCGTGAATGGACACATATGAAACGCACATACGTGCTTACACATCT